GCCACTACTAAATAATAATTAATAATAATAATAATAATAATAATAATAATAATAATAATAATAATAATAATAATAAATGATAACAATGAAGTATTATTAATAACAGCAATAGTAATAAGCCAAGTTGATATGGCATGAAATAATGTGTTGAAGAACAGATATGTCAGTAATAACAATGACGCCTTGCCTCGCCTTATTTCCAGCTCCGCTCCAGTCTACATCAAATCCATTCTGTTCCGCCAAATTATTCTTTAAAAACTTCAAATTAAAATCTTTCTCTGTATCAAGTCACTTTTGTTGTTTCACAAACTAATTCTTTATTTTCCACGCGTACTTTTTTCCCAATTGAAAAATTCATAGAGTTTAATCTTGCTTATTTATAAATTAAACTTAGTTTAATTTAATTCAACCTTTATTTGTCATTTATTCTGTCTTCAAGGTTGAACTGGTATCCGTTATAAGGCATCAGTTCTTGCATAAGACAGGTTACAAAATCTTTAACCTGTTTTTGCTTCTTACTACTTCCAGTAAGACTAGAGATTTTGTTACTTCTTACTTCTTACTCGGTTTGCTTATATGCAAATTTTTTATCTGGACGTATCCATCGTGTTCCATTTCAATCATTTTTTATTTTTGTCATAATAACTACAGATCAAATAGCAAAACCTCTGTTTACTCCTTGTAACTACCCCTGATTTTGTACATCTCCCGATCACGTTTCACTGCAAAAGTGGATAACCTGGAACTTTGATATCCGTAAAATAAAATATCATGATATTTTGTTTGAAGGCTTACTACTCTTTTATAGTCTGTCTCACATCGTGTTTTGTTAAAATAGTTTTGCAGTTTCGTTTAAAAATTTCGGTCTTATTGAAGTCTTGTAATCAAACCTTCTCGAACACAATATTGATTGGATCTTTTAAAGGTCATTTGTATCAGAGAAGACATTGCAGAAGTCCTGTGCTAGCCGTTCGGCTTCTTTTATAATAATTAAGTTATGGGACTTAATTCGTGAAACGGTGTTCTTTATAGTTAAAAAAAAACAGTGCGACTTTCATACATTCAATAAACATGAAAGGGATATTTATGAATCAAGAAGAAAACACAGACTAAAACGTTAATTATTACTCGAATACTTGAATGTAATTGTTGATCAGATGGAGTGGCCATGCGACGATATGGATTTTTTGTCTTTATTTATACATTGTTGTAACTTAACTTCAATTCATTCTGAAATATAATATCAGTGTTCTGTTTATCCCTGCTCTCTCCTCTTCTCTTGAAGAGTTTACCTTTTCCATTAAATTAACATTTACTAGTTGCACTGCTCTATCACTTTTTATTTTTACACTTTCAAAACTTCCAATACACATTGTCATCAATGCCTTTAAAATAAAACTGCCCACGCTTCAAACAGTTGCTGAGGCACTCGAAAAGTGATACCTTAAAAAGCGATTAGTTGCTAAGTAGATATTTTCCAAAGTCAAAATTCAACGATATAATTTTTAATCTCTCTGCATCATCATTGGTCAGATGTTTCACAGTGGAAAAGATCGTTCTAATCAATACATTCACCCACAATATTGCCATTACCGCTGTCGTCCATCCGGACAACGATCATTGCCGTCCTCGCTGTCATTGGACTTTTCAGTGCTCTCCTCCACTCTAAAAATAATTTGCATTGATTTTCTTTTCGGCCATCTTAATTTTTTTGCACCTCTAATTTGGATATCTTATGGTTGTCGGACTCCAGCGGTATAAGCATTGTCCCAAAAAACATGATCCTTTTTTTTACTACAGATCACAAATCCCTCTGAAGGTTTATTTCCTTTTTATTCTACTTCACCCGAACTTTTTTGTACAGATTCCTCTCCCTTTCTACTTCTCATTTAATTCGGAGTTATTTTTATGCCAACTTGTGTTCCATTCTACTTCGCATCTCTTACCAAATTTAATTCTCGAAGTTTTTTTCTTTTTTAAAATTAATATACTGAGTCATCCTGGACGAAATATTCTTCCCACCGCAACTGGGAGATTCCATTTGAGTCAGAGTCATTTTATGATAATAAATTAAGAGGATTAATTTATTTTTTGAACTTTCTAAAATCTGAATTATTTCTTAAATAATTAATTCTCTCCCATCGCTTTCATTTATTCGCTTTCTGATAGCTTTGAGCAATTTTGCCCTGATGGAAATTTTGATATGAAAATGAATGCAAATTATGGGATTGAAAGATAGGATTTTAATCTATTAAAAGTTCATACAAATTGTAATAAGTAACATCGGTGCCTTAACATATGATAATTCGCTCTAGCACAACGAAATAGACTGCTTGCTTTGCTTTTATTTAAATTTTAACTTGTCGTGACCATGTGACAACACAGTAATCTCAAATCATTTTGAAGAGAAAATTTCTCCATTACTAATAAAATCATAATTCTGAGGGTTAAATTACAAAATAACTGTGTTGAATTATCAAGATGTTCACCTCTTTCTTTTAAATTTGCTTGCAGTATTCATATCGCGAATGCTATTAGGGAGTTTGAATTCGTCGAATCACTTATTTCGAATTTATATCATTTCGTCCATCATTTACTGAATACCTTTAGCAGTGTTTCAGTGGTATTTTTAAATGCTATATCTGCTAATGTAGCATTATTTCAGATCCATCATCTTGATGTCTTTCCATTTTCAAGGCTCTACTGAGAAGAATCCCAAACACCTTATGGCCAAAAATCAGCATCTGATTTTTTTGACTAGTTTCCGTAACATTTCAGTTCATATTGCTACTTTGAGCTGCTTCAAAAGCTTTTTTCACAATCAAAATTTGAGAAAATCCATATGAAAACGAATTTCCGACAAATATTTTGAAATTGTCATTTATGTTAATCACAGCTGATTGACAATGATTTGATAAGTGGGAAAGGAAATTTAATGAAAAAAAAATAATATAAAAATTTTTCAGTGCCTGTGCAAATAGATACTTTCTCGAATTTTTTGAGAATCAATCGCAAAAATGGAGAATAATGAATAAAGAATTTCTAGTTAGATACAGGAAATTTGAAGCAGATTTGCGATTTCATTCAATGCAATAACTTTTTCATATCAGCTAATTTAAAGGATTTCGAAAGGGATGAAAACTGCAAATTACATTCCAAAATTTCACAGAAAAATCATTTTTGAATTGGAAATCTTTTTGTGTTCGAAGAAATGAGGAAGAGTTTATTGCGAAATTTGTTATCTCAACAATGCTCAAATTTACATTTCAAAAGAATTGGAACGAAAATACAATGATATCATGCTATAATATAAGAATATTTATGGATACTTCGAGTTAAAATCTTCGTAAAAGATTTTATATTTTCAGTCTTTTTGTCGTACCGATATAAGAGAACAGGTAGAAAAGTGAAAAAAAATGGATGAGAATAGGTGCGTCTGTTTACTTAGTAACTTATCATCATCTTTCTCGATGTTATTCATACTCGAGAAGAACAAAGTGATCAGTGTACGTCGATTTTTGATTCTTTTGATAATCAACTGCTCTTTCATCTTCTTGTCACCTGCTGCAACACACTGATAACGATTGTCACTGAAAAGAAAATATATTTTGCCGCTTTCCCCAATGTTTATAATATATAACCTCTGAAATGTTTAACTGTCCTTACATGTGCACGACCATATTCAACCTATAGAAGGCTTGTTGTAAGGGAGCTCTGGCGTACAATTGCTTTAATGCAGCTGCCCGAAAATACAGTAATACTTTATTCATCCTATCATTGGTGCGCGATGGTAAGAAAGATGATTTTCAAGTTTCAATGTACTTCTTTCTGTGTACACTTCCGGCTAGCTGCAGTTCACCCTAATTAGTGGAATTATCCTATCATCACTTGAATGGTAAGAATAGGAACTTGACAACTTTCTTATTAACTAATCTATACTACAAAAAGCAGCGGTATGAAGCGATTCCTATCACCGCTGTGTCATTATTTGCTAGGGGATGAGGGATGGGGTGCTCTTTGAAAGTTTGTTTGATCGCGCTTAACCGATTGTTTACCATCCTGCTAGCCTTATCGGTGCTTTTCAAATACATTTCTTTTCTCCATGGATACCTGCTGCCACCTAATACTTACCTCTTTAACTATTGTCCTTTTCGAAAGCTTTCTTAATCACTGATTTCACAATTATATTTGAGAAAAATCTATCTGATGTACACTTTTTGTCCCTTGTGCAAATCATCCTCCACATGCCTCTAATGGATGATATTTCGTTCAATATTCTGTTGACCACATCATCTGATATCAATTTTTCTTTTCCATTTTTTTTCTTTTTTTGGTAGTGAAATTCCCCATGACAAATTTTTTTGCTTTTTTTCATGAAAGATAAGAATGATAACGACATGCCACGTTGCGAACTTTGTGTCACTATGTCCCTTGTTTAGTGCACTTTTGATTGCTTAGGAAATATAATGCCATAGTTATGATCAATTTTGTTCCATTCAATGACTACTAATTATATTGAATGTATCTGAAATAGTTTTTCTAATCCATTTGCAACATTCATCCTTATTATGGCGACATGTGTATAATTCTCCAAACTGATTAAACTGATATAATGATAACTGTTGAAATTCTTATACAACAAACATAGTCAACTTGATCGCGGTAAACAACAGGACACATGTTGTGAACATATGCCCGTGTAGTTGACCGTAGCTTGTCCCATTCACTACTACAAAAGTCTGTTCGCATTACTACTATACAAAAAATTGAAATGAGGCAGTGGTAAACTCGTTTGCCTGCTACCTGAGGATTAAGTTACTTGAAGAATTCCTGCGATTGACTTTTTCGGATAGTAAATTCGAGTTAGCAAATTCATGAACAAAAATGTCTTATTGTAAAATACTTCTTTGATGCCAACGGTAGTACCTAAAGCAACGGGTGAAGGAATTCCCTATGCATTCTGCGGTTATGAAAGATAACTTATGTTGATTAGAAAACAGTCCACGTTAAACGGATGCTAAATTAATTTATAGTCTTTTGTGATTTAAAAATAGTAAGAAGAATTCAAAAGTGGGAGTTTTAATTTGACTATGATAATTAAGAGAGTAGTAATTGCACTTTGTTGTCAAACACTCTACAATGCATCTCTAAGTTAATATCGTTTTGTTTCATAAGAAATTGCTCCTGTTATTACCAAAGTTTCCAGAAGACGTTTGCAAAATTCGCCTTATATTGAACAATAATTATGAAATTAGGATGTTTATTGTATCTGATAAAATAATGTTGCGTGGTCATTCTCAGCCTTTGAACTTTCCCAGTGATTAAAAAAACAAATCATTGATTAATTTCCATGTCGTTGATCACACTTCCCTCTCACAAAAGTTGTAAGACTATCGGTAGTTGTCATTGAAACCAAAATTTGTGAGCAAATTTTTTTTTGTGCAAACATGATTTTGGAGTGTTATTCAAAATATCATGGTATGAATCACTGCAATGATGATCAGACGATCTTGAAGCCGTTCCTGTGGAATAGCAAAATTATCGGAAAAATTCCTGCATATGTATCACGGCGATAAAAGTAGTCCTATCAATATTGCGTTAACATTTTGTCAGAGCAAACTTCAAACATCGTAGCGACTCAAATTTGGTTCCTAATAAACGTTTATTTAAATTCTTCGTTTTGCGTAATAATTGAGTCCAAATATTATTGGATTCATTGCTAATGGTTGATTAATTCAGCATGGTACCCATTTAAATCCGATCGATCAGTTTACCAACTTGAAGAATTCGACCCACCAGCTTGCAGACTTGCATGTGCGCCTATCAAAAATCGATCTTTCTCCAAAAAATATCTGTTGCTAACATGCTTGATATCAGAGGTGGCAGCAAAAGTAGCATAGATATTAAATTAATTAACCCTACAATCTCTGTACAAATTTTTATTTCTTTTGAATTGCAATTGTTTTTTTCGTGATTTTTCCTTCTTCTACCGTCATTCTGTTTTCACTCTTTAACCATTTACCAGCATTCTTTCGCTATCTTCCTAAATAAAGATAACGATTACTGTCGGGAAGATCGAAGACAAAGGTCATTCACAGATCTTCCATTTTTTGAACCCAAACATGCAAGCACATGCACTAGCAGAAATATACATTCTTGACATATCTAAAGTCGTCTCAATTGGTGATCAGCCCACATACAGTTATTTAGGAAAGTTGAGAATGCTTACGTGGATGTAAGATCCCTGAATGACCAGTAGGGAAATAATGAAGGGAATAATGAGATGAAGATCGTTAATAAAATGCTGCTTCAATATTGCAAAATTTAATTGTCAGATGGATTAGTAGACAAACAAAAAGGAAAAAATTTTCTTTTTTTTTTTTTTAATTTCATAAATGGTGCATATTTTGTCAACATCCTGAGGTCTAATGTTGTCTGTAATGAATGACATTGTTCAACATTTTAACATATGTGATGCTTGAATATGTAATTGCTTTTGGGTAACAGTTGAAGGATTGGTGGATGAAAAAAAGTTATCAGATATCTGGGCATATAAGTAAAATTCTTGCAATTCTGTAAATTTCGAAATATTATTAAATTTAAGATAGTTTGTTCATTAGTAGCAATTCTTGTTGTTACTCCAACCATAAAATCACGACATTTCACTGTTGACGATAACCTTCGAAATCTGTTTTCGATTATCAGTTTTTCTACAAAATCAATATGAATTAGTCAGAATTTCAATACACTCCAGTTGTTTGTTGTTGTTCCAAGCGAACTTTCTGTTATATTTCTTGATTTTATTGTGCATTTTCTTATCTGTTGTCGCATTTGGACTTCAAGGGCAGTTTGATATCAGCTTTGTCAATAGTGACATTCTACCACTTTCTTATTTAAAACTAAGAAAGGGAACTTTGAGTTTTAACGTCTATGGTAAACAGGACAAATTTCTGAATGTTTCATTAAAAAAAAAAAAGTCACTTCTATTTACCGTATATTTTATTGAAAATCTTTGTTTTTATGTCATTGTAGGACAGGCAACCTCCAACAAACTTTTAAAATTACGGTTAACCTTCACTCCTCTATCCATTCATAGCTTTCTGTTACATGCTGACTGGATAAAACGTATGCAAAATATGTGTGCGTGTATATGTGTGTGTGTGTCTGTATGTATATATGTGTGTATGTATGTGTATGTTTGTATATGTGTGTGTTTGTGCATGTGTATACGTGTGTTTGTATGTGTGTGTTTGTGTGTACAATATTTCACGTACTGGTTTTTGTCTAAGATAACTTTGAGCAAAATTCTGTGGTAGAATCGGTGGAGAAGTGAACTGGATCGGTATGCACTGCATTATATCCATTGATTCCTGTCCTTCAGCGCACAAACGCAAATTAATGCATGCTGAATTAAGATGATTGATTGGTGATGAAAAACCCTAAATTTCCTTCGTAAAATCATAAATTTCGCTTATAGGTGGGGAAGGAAATATTCCAAGAAATACATTGAAAAGCAAAATTTTTTCCTTTTTTTTGATAATTACCTTTTCCGGATTTCCCCAACTTTATTATTCTGAATTCATATTCTCTTCATTATTCGGCAGATTACATTTTTCTGTTTTAGTAATCTAGTTTTTTAGCTATATTTGAAAAGATTAAAAATCTGCAGTACTGAAGAAGTGAAATGAAAGACTGTGATGAAGTGAATGGAATGGAAAAAAGTTTTACTTATGGTATGAGCCCGAAATCACCAGAAAAATCATCACCAATGGAATTGAAGGAAGCTGTCATCTACCCGCAACAATTCGCAAAAATTTTTATTCCAACAAGCTTGAAATAAAACTTTATTCTACAGAGCACCGAGTACGAATGCTCTAATGAACATATGAAGAGCAGTGTTTGGATTTAAACTTGTTTGGAATTCATATTTTATTGACGAAATTTTCAAAATTTGTACTTTTTTTTATCCTTCACTTTTGATTTACAAACATAGCTATCGTATATTTGAGAATTATCCTTGTAAATTAAAATTCTAAAGTATTTTATGTTACCTTTCTCTTCAAATAAGGTAGAAATTCAGCGATATGGTAGCTCGTAACTTTATTTCAATCCATTTTTAGATTAAATTAAATTAAGTGAAGAATTTCCAAAAGACACTATTTCCTTTTTATTTCTATACCGTCGTATTTTTTGGGCGGCTCTTTTGATTGATAAGAGCTATTCATTTTTAAAAGTTAATAGGTTTAGAAGAAAAAAATATGACGTATAACTTCATGTAATTCATGTAACTTTCTACAGACTGCTTTTCTTTTCTTTGGATATTCTCTACATCTTACCTTTCTTTTTTAAAGTATTTTAACGGAATGCTAATTCCGGTTCATTTCAAGATTTCCACTTCTAAAGTTTATTATGGTCATACCTGCTATGATCTTCAAGTGATCCTGCCAACAATTATTTTCTTGTATGACAATTTACGATAACTGTAGTTCATCGCTAGAAAGAGACTTTTAATTGGACAACGTTAAGTTTTTGTCTGAGATGCAACAAATTTAAACAACGATAAATTTAACAGTTAACAGGCTTGGAAAAAAACAGCGAAAATTTAAATCATCAAATCTCTGTAGCAGCTTTCCCAACAAACAGTAAAAAAACTTTAAATTGAGAACTGAAGTCTGAAATTAAGGCATGAGTAACAACTAAGTTCTAATTTGAACTGCTTTTGACTGACGGAATAAACATTTACAAATATGATTCAATGTTGCTGTGCAGGAAGACGATCTAACGTACAACAGATTTCCTCAATGTCAGACCATTTTGTCTTTTGTAAAAGAATATTTGTTCATTGACTTGTGACGTTATTTACACATGGAAGATGAAATTTTTCAAGAATAACAATGTGCATGAAGCTAATTGTAAACATTTCGCCCTAAGGGAAAAACATTTTTAACGTTCATTTTTCAATTATTAGTGTAAATTGCATTTTGCAAGCAAATCGCCTTGCAAAGTTTTACTTTTTTGAACAGAAATATGCCCTAATTGAGTTAACACACAAAAATTTCCAAAAAGGATAACAAAAATCTGTTCAGTTATAATGATATTTTTTTAATGATTTAAGAAATTAAATGATATCATTGGTATTTTGAACGAATCGAATACATATCATTTCTTATTAAGTTTCCATTCTCTCTTCTGACTTTTCCTACTGGATTTATTTTGATTTTTGCTTCTTCAATCGATTGATGTTCAGTTAGAATGAGCAGGATACTTAATTGGCTCTCAAAGTGGGATAAAAGAGTAATTTGAAGTGAAGGACGTTTGTGTGAATACTTAGGGTAGTTGTAATAATAATTTTGGGACTTTTGTACAGGGAAAAAAGATCTGCATTAAGTGAATACGAAGAGAAGAGTGCAAGGAAACATTACCGGCAATAGCATAGAATAAATTATGCAAACAGAATTTGAATTATTTTTCACTTCAACTATTAGTTTTCATAAACAAAAATTGTGTCTTCCTTTCTCATTTTTCCGAATTTGCTTTTTCAGAATTTGCACTGAATTTAATGAAATGACTGTTTTTCGGAAATCATTCAATTTTTGCCTTTTCTTTATCTGAATAAATTATTTTTGGGATGTTTTATAAATTATAACTAATTTAAAAATTTGTAGTTTCATTCTCAATAGAATATGCGGTTTTTTTCCGGGTGTGGTTATTGGACATGAAATCCAGAATTTATTCGTTTTGCAGATTATATGTATCAAGGTACAGTAGTGGTGTGGAATACTTGATTACTATGGCAGATGATGATGTGCTGAATATGCAAATTTTCATTCCCGAGCTTCATATTCAGGTCAGTTAGAAGATTTTTTATATTTTTCTCGATTATTCGCACCTTATGTAATGCAATACATCTGCTCTTTCATCAGTAATAATTCACCTTGAGATATTTGGGATTCTGAGTTTGTGGAAAAAAGATATTGATAGCAAAACTGTGTGCAAACAAGCTGACAAGGGTAAACGATAGTTAGAAAACTTTTTATCAAACACATAATATACGCCTCAGAACATAAATTTATGTTTGCGAATGTATGAAATTAATGGTAAAATGAATGTTTGACGACTTTGCTTGACAGGTTATCGGCTGGTTTACACGTAGAAGTAATGTTATCAGTTAGTCACAGAGCATGATTGAATCCTTTTTGTTTGTTTGCTGAAGCGAGGAAATAGTACTTTGGCATATATTTCCTCTTTAAAATTGCTTGATCATTGATGATCATTTTGTATCTTTTATCAAAAAGCAAAAAAGTCATACAGTATCAATTTATGCACTATGCATGTCTTCAGATATATAACAACCTCTATACGGTATTTACCTTCACAAACAAATACAGTTCTCTTCCACGCTACATAATCTTTATTCTACAAAAAACAAATATCTTTAAAATGTCACTAAATTTCATTATGTTGAAAATCCTGTATGAAATGTATGTTTAAATTAAATTTCTTGCTGATTGATTGTGAAATGGAAAGCATTGATGTGGAAAATTAATGAATTGTAGAAATGTTTGGTTGTGAATCTTGATGAAAAAGTTTGGGAAATCAAAGGACGACTTGTCCAGTCGCTTCAGAGTGTAAGTTGACATTTTACAACATTTTTGTTTTCTTTCTTTTCAGTCCTTTTTTTTTATTCGATTTAATAAAACATTCTTGTTCTTGGCAATCTTCCTGTTAAAATTAACATTTCTTGATTATTTCCTTTCCCATTTTCACAAATTCCGGTTAATTATGACAGACTGTCAAATGCGATTAGACTGAAGAGCATTTCGCATTGTTCATAATAGCTCAAAGTATTTTAAAATAATTTCATCGATGATTTACCAAAATCATATATATGTTAAACTTTTTTCATAAATTTGATAGCCTGAATTTTGGACAAATTCTGCATCTTCCCACAAATTCATCATATAACCACTCGAGAGATGTTTGAAATTTGCATAAGGAACAATGGCAGTTGCAAGTTAAAAATTTCCGTAACCTTACAATTCTTCTAAGTGTTAACAGTGGTAAAGAAGAGGTGATGAATAATTTCTTATCGGATTAAATACGTTGCAGAAGCTACCTCAGTCATTCAATTACGGCTTATTTCTACCGCCTTGTGATGGTCGTGCCGGCAAATTCTTACTGGAAGACCGTTCGATACGTGAATACCCATTTCATGATTGTGTCCCTTATCTCGAGGTTATTTTCGTGTGGCATCTTTTTCAATTCTAAGATAGAGCAAAAGCATTTATGATCTAATCAACAGTTTAATAAGCTTTAATTTCTGAGATTTTTATTGCATCTCAATAATTCCTTAACTATTACACAAATGTCCCGGTTTCCACAACCTTGCTTACTTGTTTAAATGAAGAAAATGAATTGAAAGAAGACTTTTATCATTCTTTTTCAAAACTTTCAGCACTGGCAATAATAAAACAAATTATAAACACTTGAAATGAGTTATATCACAATGGTAGACTTTTAATGAAATTTTTACTTTTCACTGAGTTTTTGAATTGAATTCTTCAGAAAGGTAAACAAAACTTTAATTAACAACCATAGCCTTTCATTTAAGCTCAAATACAAAAAGCGGGTCTACAAAATGTTGAACATTGATGAAAAACAGCTGGAAAAATTAAATACAAAGGTAAATTATTTTATTTAGTTGTGAAATTTTCTTTTTTATTGAATAAATGGAAGAACAGCATGATCTATTTTGAATAAACATTTCATCCCTTTCTATCCCTTAGTCGCATTCATCTTTCACCTTTCAGTCAAATTTGAAAAAATTCATGAATCACATTGCTCTTGGACAGCTAAAAAAGATGGAAGAGATGTGCAGTGCAGGATTCGATCCCAATTTTCACGATAATGAAGGAAAGACACCATTGACGATGGTATGCTCATTACCGCACAATGAAAATTTTATTAAAACGCTGGTAGAACATGGAGCTCATGTCGATTTCCGAAATAGTGATGGACAGGTAATATACTGTAGGATTATTTTAAGAGAAGCAAATGGCGAAGGAGAAGTTTAATCATGATTAGCTAAAATATGATGCCATATATTGTGATCTAAATGAAGGCATAGCTTTTGGTATTGGGTATAGAGTCTTTTGGAACTGAATCAAAATTTGAGGTTAGATAAAATGAAATGAGTTTTGTTTATGAAGTTCGCTTGATCATTAAAAATGTCTCATATTCTATAGAAACTAATATAGATTTTATTAGTAAGTTCCAGTCTACAAGTGATTCTATCATATACCATATCATAATCTAGTCATATGGCGTGCTTTTAAAATACTAACGAATTAAAGTTGTGTTAAAGATATTCCACAGTACTGTTTTGTCCTGATATTCCACATTTATAGACAGCAATGCATAAGGCAGCATATTGGTCCTTGGCAGAAAACGTGAACTGTTTGCTAGAACTTGGCGCTTCACCAAATTACCGTGATCCACTTGGCCTGACACCACTCTACTACAACATGCTGCAAAGTAGTTCGAAATCATCGATAGCCCAAATGTTGCTTTATAATTATTCAGATATTAGTGTAACTGATTTGGATGGAAATCATGAAATACATCAGGTTTGTACTGTTATCGCTGTCACTGTTTATTTATTATACATGATTTCCAGATTAGTTCCTCTTATTCGTTTGTACTCAGTTAAGATTTTATGATTTTCCTGATATCAACACAAAATTTGTTAACGCTGTGATAGTTTCTTGAAAGGAGGGACTGCGATTCTCTTCAGTAGAGATATCCATTCTTTGACTATCGTATCATCCTCAACCACATCGGCAAATTTCTTAAAAGTAATTTCAGAAATTTTTTTTTTTAATTATCAATACTTAATCAGAAAATAGGTGGCACCATCTCTGTTTGAATGGGAACTTGATCTTATATAGAAGATGCACAAAACGATCACTAATCTAGCTAAGCGGTATCTGCATTTATAATAAGAAAATGAAACTAATAGAATCGTTGATAATTCCCGGAGAGAGAACAGAAAGTTTCGTGAACCATATCTGATACTTGCCTTCTAATCAGTAATAATTTTCTTTAAACACTACTGACTAAAGAGATTTAGGTCGTTTTCGTGAGTGAAATAGCGTCAATTACCTTACCTTAAGTGGGAGGACAGTTTTTTTATACCTGGACTTTTTGTGGTTTAAAAAACGTTTCCGTTCTGTTCCTCGACTAATGTTGATATCCATTGTAGTATCAGTGCGATCGTTACCAACTCTTACCAACCACTATCTTCTATATTAGCCAATTTCTCATATCATTATGTAATTTTGCTATTATCATCCGAACCAGATAACCGGCATTTCCCAACAAACTTTTTTATTTCCCGAAAACCAACAATTTCTGTGGAAGTTATTCACCTAATCTTATTCTGCTAAATACGTGAGGAAAAGTGCGTCTAACGCAGCTTTTGTTATTCATCAATCTAAATACTCTTACCAAAATTTCACTTTTTGCATATCTATTAAGATATAACACTGTTTATTAATTTGCGCAATAGTTTCGGTATTACAATCCCTTTACGATTCTTGTCGAATTATATTGATTCTCACACCGCCTCGATCCTTAACTCAAATGCAAAACTTATGCCTTGAATCCTTCCTTCCTAATTGATTGATCCACTCATCAAATGTAGAAAAAGTAGTCAGCATTTATACCTTTATAATGAATAATTAACCATTCTGTCCACCAGTAATGTTTATTTTGAAAACAAATTTTTCAGTTTCAAATTAAAAGTTAAATTCACTCAGGTACGAGAAAATTACAGTAACAAGCTTCTGTTTGTAGTAGTCACCTTCGAATTATCTTCTCCGCCAATCGATATTCTCTACGAAACTCCTTTGATACTTCAGAAAATCTTTTAGAGATCAGAAGAGAATAGTGCGAAAATTTAGACTGTATATGATAATTTTTCAGTTGTGGAAAGAAACGTTAAAAAGCAACATTACCTATGCAATATCATTCCTATAATGAATAACATAAAGAGATAAGAATTAAGAAATAAGATAGTCGAGACCAAGATATATTTAGTTTATTATCTCAGGATTTGTTAACGGAGGAAAAAGTAATTGTTTTGTTAATTGTTTACGAAAGAGGTAGAGAGGCAGAAGTAATTCGAATTTTGAGGTATAATTGAAGTAATCCATGTAGAACTATGGTTTCCTCTCAGATCATTAGAATTAATATTCATCATCTCAGGAATTTCATGGAATTAGGAGGATTGCTCGACCAAAGTATTACAGTCTTTTAAGACATGCTTTATGTTCCAACCATTAAAAATATTGAGCAACTTTCATAAACTGGATTGAAATACTTAACTGAATTCCTCGTACAATTATTTTTATTGTTTACTTTTCTAATTCATTTACATTTATCCTTCCGAATCCAATCATCCTGTATCTTCAATTTATTTTGCGAAAAAATTCAAAAATTCGAAAATTAGCGAAAATTCTCCTTTTTAGGCATGCAAGAATGGTCTGGTGCAACATGTTGATTATTTGATATATTATGGAGCTGAAATTAATGCTCAGAATGTTAACGGAAATAGTCCACTTCACGTTTGTGCCATCCACAATAAGTAATTAGTTCTGATTTTCTTTCGCTCTTCTCTAGACTGTGTTTGCTGCACCCTATTTATAAAACATGAAATTTTTAAAAATTTGAATGAAATTAAACATGCACTCAACAAATCAAATTTCTGTTGATCTGAAAAGAAACGAAAAATAAAATAAAGCACAATCTATTGTTAACAGTTCGAAAAAAAATTGAGTTTTATTAGCTGAAAAATTTTTTAGACCCAATTGCGCACGTTTACTATTGTTTCGTGGTGCTCATCCGACTATTGTGAATAAGCAAAGCCAGACACCGTTGGATGTGGCACAAATTCTTGGCTCCCATGAAGTAATGAAAGTTATTTTGAACCACGACCCTCTATCCACTGGTTCGTTAACATCTCTGAAGATAAATTCCGAATCGTTTTTTCAAAGATCTTTGCTTTTGTTTGAAGTCTAGCATATTTAGGATCCATCAACCTTTTCATGTCGAAACATTTTAGTGCCCTCGGTTCCTGTGATACTTGCTTGTAGTATGATCGAGATTTTAAAAATGAAGGAAACCATTTGTCCACTCCTCGCTCCATCTTTAGAACAAAGACCTGGGGAGCACTATTTTCTCACACCTTAGTTTTTGTCAGAACAATCAACAATAATGGTATTGGGAATGGTAAAACTGAGTAAGCTTCCAAATCACTCCATTTTCAGTACCCTATAACGTGAAGCCAACCTTTAATCCCAGAAGGCGTTCATCAATGCTACCTGGTCAACGAAGCTCAAGTCATTCATCACTTTGTAGCAGCGAATATCGATCTGTGGTAAAATTTTTGATAAAATAATTTCAATTCTACATCTTTTTTCTTTTTTTCGGTAAGTTTTTTTGATAAAAAATAATTTCTCTACATTTTTTTTGATAAAAATAATTGCATTTTTCTAAAGCTGGAAAATGTGATTATTTGTAATCTGAATTACATTTTCGTTATCAAACTTCTCGCTCAAACTTTTCTGACCCTTTATTGCTGAACAAAGTAAGATAGTTTGAAAGTTAATAACTAAATTTATTGATGGCTTCCAAAAATATCGACTTATTTTTCTAGATACCGGCCAGCCCGACACCAAGCCACGTGTCAATATCCAGCTATAAAACGTGTCCAGGAGATGTTAGTGGTGGATACAATACTATGCGACGATATCCGGCTTACCCGCTAGTGAAAATCAGTGGTTTTGAGTACGCCGCTTTTATTCGATTAAACATTCATAAAACCTTCCTTGATATTTATCTTATTGAGGTTTTCGAGCTGAGCTGATTGAATGATGTAAAAACAAAGTGAAATACAGAAACCTTTTCCTCTGAAAAGATGCACATCGGTCAATCAGGCGCCGATATTCTAAATAATCGAAAGTCTGGAGCGGATAAGATGAAACAATTTGGTGCTGGACGGCTTTCTGCACATCTTTTATTGTGCCATTGGGCATTGTATTGTATTGCCTTGCTAAGTATTTAGATACATAGGTTAGGTATAATGGATGCATCATAGTAAACAATCCATTGGTTCTTTATCGTTCGGTAAGAACATAGACTTATTTGACATAGGCGGAATAGACTTATACAAATTATGCAAAACCGATTTGGAAGGAGGAAAAGGATGAATTGCTGCTTTACAAAGTAGGCAGGCTTACTGGGTAATAATGCAGGATTGAGCTCGAAAACATGAAATAAGAGGACTGTTCAACATGTATATCATGGATGTGAATTATCGATTTTTGGACAGTTTTTTATAAAAACTTTTTTACACACAAAAACGAATCAAAAAATTATGTAATCCCAAGACTGTTCTTAGCTAACTGTTTGTTTGATCTGTGAAGTAGATAGAGCAATCTCTTGAAAGTTTTCATTTACTCATTTCATTCGGCGGCATGTTCTGTTTGTAGGGCGAACATACCACGCACTGTTGTAATACCGCGAGATGGTAAAGGTGGCTTCGGATTCGTCTTACGTGGCGCTACAAGTTTGTCTTCACCATTATTTGCTTGTATATATGTGCGAATATATGTTACTTGCATGCAAAATTAAAACAATATGAATTGAGCAGGGAAATACAATCACTAACTGGAATATAAATTTCAGATTAAAACAAGTACAGACTTTGAAATATTGAATTTTGAAAGAAATTGAAATGGGAATAGAAGGAAGAAAAAGTACTTTAAAATCAAAATTGATTTTGAACAAATCAAAGCCAAATTCAACTCCTAGTTATTTAATCTGCATTGGAAAAGTTAACTACTTACTAATACTTTCAGAAGCTGGAAACTTCACTCCAACGTTACTGAATCCAGCATTGCAAAAATTCGAAGGGATTGACCTGCAGGGAATGGCCATGAAAGCAGGTCTAAGGCCCGGTGATTTTTTGCTTCAGGTGAACGACATTGATGTGCGTAGAACACCACATGATCAAGTCCATAAACTGATACAGTCTTCGGGAGACACTGTAACGTTAAAGGTGGGTCGAATTTACTCTCAGGAAATCACAGACTAAACTTGAATGACTTTGTTACTATTGGCTATCTTCTAAGAGAGTTGTTCCGGATATGGATACAAGAAATAAAACAAGAAATAAAAACAAGAAATAAAAATATTTGCAAAAAGTTGAACACTGTTGAACATGTTGAACACTTCAAACAGAGTTGCTTTTCTCTAGTATTTGAGCAGATTCCCGATGTCTTCTCCTCCAGTTGTGTCGACAACGCTTACCACTACCAATTGATGAAGAATACTGTTACCAAAGACTAAACTTAGTGCTAAAATGCAAATCATATCATGACAAATTTTTACTTATTGACTGGTAAGAATAGAATGAGAAACACAGAAATTGTTGTAGAACGAAGCTGAATCATTCAAGTCGCTATTCATAAACAGAAACTGAATCAATGAATAAATTTTTTTAGAAATTTTATTCAGGTGATTACTATTGACCCTGGCTCATTCACTTTTCGACCCGCTCGTACGATGCCGGTGAACATTTCTCGTACAGGTCGGTCATTTTCAAATTTCAAGCTTTCTAATTAAATATTAATGCAAGTTATTTATATTAGATGCGGCTTGTTGTTTTAAACTATAGAAAGCACGTATTATTTATTCTTTTTACTATTTTGTCTCAGATATTCTCCTTCGTCTGTTTTTGAATGTACGAGAGAGCAAAAGGTCATTGCCTCGCACCGCCTTGTGAATAAAATTTTTGTTTGGATGGTTGAAATGAGCGCAAAAACACCAATTTTAAGATCATCTTAAGGTCTTTAAATTTTTAAGACCTCATTATAAGGTTATCCTACTCAAGCTAAAGTTTCCGTTGATATAAAAAATCATATATGAGCAAACATGTTTGTCTTTTACGATTGTGCTTTATAATCAGGAAGAATTTGATACAAAATGCATGGCAGTTTGTTTAAAAGGTAGCAATATATGATCGGATTAATTAGCAAATGGTTTCTTATGGTCCTTATGTAAAATTAGTATCTTTTAGGAAAATATTGTAAAGAATTCTGTTGTGTTAGCTGTACTTTTCTGATACTTACTTTCACTTCGTGAATTCAAAAGTGGTATATCTTCAAATTAGCATGTTTCTGTTGTGCATGTAGACGCTTATAGTTCTATAATATAGTCCACCAACACTGACACAGCACAAAACGGACATCAGCTATTCGTTACCACGTCGAAATTATCGCTTCAACGGTAAATTCATTTTACTTTATCGTTTTGACCGGATATTCAAAACTCAGCATCCTATTCCACTGCAGAAATCACAATAAGGTTACTTTTCTTCCTGAAGCAATAATGATACATCTCTTGCAGTTCGATCAGCTTTGGAAAAAAAATAGCTTCAAAAACATTTCTTCCAAATGATTTGGTACTGTTCTTCAACAGTCACTTTTATAACGTATCTTCTCACAGAAGCCTATAATGCTAGTCCTGATATCTATTAGCCTGAAGTGAATTTACATAACAAATGCTTGGAATTACCTGCACCTTTGGTGTTGTTTTCGTTATTTGTGTATGTTGCTCCTGCCTTTTCTTGATTTGAAATATCAATTTCACTTTTGGAGGATCATGAAGGCAGGTGTGGATATGGAAAAATTATTTAAATTAAACAGAATGATACTATCCTCAGTCCTCAATCCTGAAAAGGTAAAGAAGAGTCGATTATGTTGCATGTTCAGCTCCATGTTCTATTCGTACCTTCGTGGGTGGGTGTTGTTTTTAAGTATATGATGTTTGTTTAGTCCCCGTTTATTTTGAAAATTGTGAAGTCAAAAAATGCTTGTATGAATTTCGAAATATTTCTAATTCAAAAGTTCTTGCTGAAAAAAGTTGAAAGGTCAACATTCGTATTGCTTTATCTTGCCTAAACTGATATTTAAAGCAGGAAAATCCGCATTTAAAACCGTCCAGAATTACTTTATTATCATTCGTGAATTTCAGGTTTTATTGCTGTTTACCAGAAGTCATTTCACATTTCTTCATTTGTCACTGGAATTCATTATCTCCTAGTTCTTACATCGGATATATTAATTAATTGGCAATAGTAGATAAATAATAATGTTAAATGAGAGTTCATACCACTAATCTCCTTATTGTTACATTTTGTAGGTAACATAGGTGACATGTACGGCTATGGCAGCAGTATGTTGCCTTTGCATTCTGCTAAATCGGTAGAAGCGTTAAATCAAAGCAATTACGAACGTTTTGCGTCCGTAAAACAACGAATCAGTGGTTCTAAACGTATTTCAATGGAAGAATTGGAACGACTAATGGAACGGCAGGGGCAGGGGCAGGGTACCTCGCAGTTTCAACCCATTCCCATACATGAGGTCTTTTTATCTCTCAAGTTTCATAATTTTTTGAAATAACACTGCTGTTTTATATTTTTCACATTGTACCGTTCTATCCTAGAAAACATATTTTATAATTTTGACATCTATTTCTTTCTAAGCAATATATTTAAATATGCCGGAATTTGTTGCAGGATTCACTATCAAACGGAAGTGGTTTGAAGTTTAGTTCGGTGAACGACCTGAAACGTTATAAAAAAGGTGGTTTACATCGAATGGTTTTACCACCAGTAATTGACAACGATCATTGCATCCCTTCAGTAATGCAAAGCTTTAATTCTTCACCAGGTTATTATTGAGTTTATCTTCCCTTTCACATTGATTTTCTGAAGCCTTCAAGGATTGATTCAAGAAATAAAAGCACATAACCCGATAAGGTTTTTGCTATTTTTGATCAGTGTGTTATCTGATCTGAGATATTGATTAGTGTTAAAAATCACTGGTTATGTTACGTAGAAATAAAATATTGTGCAGAAACGCAATAATTCATTTTTAATATCTGGCTGCTGGTCTCTTTTCCAATCTTATTTCGTTCTCCTTCATCATAAATTTTAACTTATGATATTTATGGCAGAATTTGGTGTCTCTCGGTAACCTTTCAAAGTGTGGTATTTACCGCCCTGCGCCTAATGCATATCACCTCTCAGCTCCTCTCATCTTTTGTGAATGATTAAGTATTTTAGACGCCCTTTAGTTATTCACTGAGCAAATCCAGACTGCTTTTTTTGCTCCTGTTATGTCATTCACAAGCTCAAATTTCAGTACTTCGGGAATATTTTTAATTTTAATTTGAAATAGCCTTTTTGTAACACAAAAGTTAATTAATTGTCTCAATTAATTAAGGAATTTTGCGCGCATTTTCATCTTGGCCCTTTGTTACAGATTTGACTCGATCAGTAAATGATAAATCGCCTTCACTGACTTCTTTTGATGGACAAGTCAACCAACTTGGCTCTGTAACTTCTCAGAGCACTTCAGACTATTCTCGCCCTTTCAGGTCTATCGAACGACCCAAAACACCGCCTCCTCCACCACCTCCTCCATTGTTTGATAACTTGTCAGTATCGTTTTCGAATGATAGTAATACTTTGACGAATAGCATACCTCCGACAGTGTCTATATCGTCCATATCAAACACTTCTCTTACAGGAACATCAGTGCCTCCACCTGAAATCGAAACGACCTTCCCACCACCACCACCCCCGCCTCCACCACCGCCTCCACCACCACCTCCTCCTCCACCACCACCTCCTCCGCCTCAATCTTCTGGAAAAGCAACAGCAAAATCTGTGGTATGCATTCATATAAGACTCCAAAATTTTGTTCGGACCATCAATTAAATGGGTATTATCCCAGTAAACGAGTGTAGACGTTTGAACAGATCGGTTATTTTTGACAGTTTGTTTTCAGTTATGTTGGTCGTTGCGATAATCCAGCAGACAGTGCTGATTAAATCCTTCTGTAAAGGACGAGAAGTTCTGGATTTTTCCGTGAAAAACTTTTCGATTTACTCTTCTAAGATTTTGTAACCATAAATGGCCTTATTCTTTTGAATGAATCGAGCTAATTTTCAGTCTTTTAAAAAGGATGTTGAACAAGAAGAATCTGAGTCAAGGGAAAGGGGAATAGCTGCTATCAGTAGTGAAGTACTGTCAACGGTGAAACTAAAACCTACCTTACGACGTGAACCAGCTAACTACTGTGGGACCATACCACATGGATTTGATTCTGATCTGCGTAATGCACTAGCAAGAAGGAGAGGCAAAGCAAGCTTTTTTTACAGAAAATCATGAGATTTCTTGTAATATAAACCTTAATTATTTTCTATTATACTTCAGAAAAATTTTAGATTGCCCAAAGTAGCAGTAATGATGCATCGAAAAAAGTTGTTTTCTTGTTGGAGAATCCTCCTGTAGCTACGGTTATCAGGTTTGGTCTCCTTTAGTCTACTTCAAATACTTTCTAGTTTTCGGAACTAAACTATGGTGAGGTACACGAAGTTGTCCTCCACAGATGATTCGACTCTAGAAATACGAGAGCAGATCGACCTTTCAGGACGAGGAAAGGACATTCTGTAAAAGTAAATGATTTTGTAGCAGCTACGGTGGATTAAGTTTGTGCGAATCAGTCCGACAAAATATGTCAAGTTCAACAAAATGGGAAATCGGGAAATCAGAGCATTCTCCGACGGGCATTGCAACGAAGAAAGACAGTGGGTGAGTTGATCTGCTAAAATACTTATGTCTTCGACACCTTAAGTTATGCCGAAATCAAGGTGACGGCTATCATACTTATCATCATCTATTTCGAAAAACATCAGTGTTGAGTTTTGCAGCTTTGACTGTTTCTTTCTCAGGCTATTCGCTTTCAGTTATACATCGTCACGCACTTCGCTTGAACCGTCAGAATGTGGGGACGACATCGGATCAGTAGGTGCTACCGTAATCGCGATACCAGGATCTGCTCAAGCAACTACTAATGTGGCTGTTGCCAATTCAGCATGTCATGTCTCTTTGATTAGTAATCAGTTTGACGAAAATTGTGATTCTGCGTATACCAGACGAAGCATTTGTTTACCTCAAATACTACCACCTTCTCTGCCACCTCCATCCGTTCAACAGCGAGCGCAACTTATCAGCGACCATGATTCGGTAGGTAAGAAAAATTTTGGGTCTTGGGTCTAACATGCCCCATTTATCTTCAGTGTACCATTCAATTAGTTATACTTAACTTTTTCTTTATTTTCCTCTCGCATGCTACAGAATGCAATGAAATCAAAAGCTTGTTCATGTGAAAATAAATTATTGCATGTTTATTTTCCAATTATTGCAGAAAATCTTTCCGGAACCACTGCTTTTATGCATTTAGCAAATCAGTTTTGTCTCAGATTTGGAATAACTTTCCAAAACTCAAATATTAATACAGTCTTTTTTCTACAAAAGGTAGTCCTCTAGTTTTTGAGCGATCTATTTTTGGGCGATTTCAGTTTCCTGTTTTTTATTTTCCTGGAGGAAGGAGGTCAAGAGAATTTGCTAGGTAAAACGAGATTTGAAACATTATATGTTTTGAAATTTTCTATTCAAGTTAAACTACTTCAACGGTTTTACGACCTATATCGGAGATGATATCAGGCAAAAATTTGATTAAAAAAGCGTAGTGCAAGTGTACTTAGACTGGCTTATCTTAACACACTTATACTTCTCGATATTTTAGGGTTTAATGTTTCACTTTTTTTCACTTGTCGGTAAAAGAACTCCTTTGTTCAATTTATCTGGCTTTTTCTTACACTCTCTGTGGAATTTGAATTTCTCTCCAGGTGAGCTTGAACTCCACGCTGTCGACGTTGAGCGGACAGTCATCATCGGACCGTCAACAGCGGACATTTGCCACTACCCTGTTGTCTTCAATATCTCACACTAAATTCTCAATAACTCCACCGATTGATTGTAACGATGATGAGCCGGATAGTGGTACCGGGGACTCCGATAACGAGGTCGCGGCAGAATCCAGTAAGCTGCACAGAAATTTATTTCATCGGTGTTGTATATGTATGAAACTTTGTTCCTGTCTGCTTGTCCATGATTCTCTAGTGTTTCGATTACTTAAATATTTTTCTACATTTTGGAAGTTGCATTACGGTTTACATAGTTTTTTCATATTGCACAGTTTTTGGACATAAACTCAACGACCGTTTTGCAATACTTCTTATTTATCTTTTTTAAGCTTGCAATTTTTTTTAAAACGATTTACCTCTCGGCACAATTTTAGCTTCTTTTTAGGCAAATAACTGCTTCTATTCCAATTGCCGTACTCCTTCGTGCTTTTGTCTATATGACAATTTGAAAATGGCTGGTTCCCTTAAATCGTTTTTCTTTCCGCCACTCACAATGCTTTATTGTATTTTAAAGTGGAAGATTTAAAGCGTCAAAAGTTCCTAATCTTATTTTCAGTTTAATTTGATGCAGTGATAATGTTTGCAGGTAATCACACAAGTCCGTCTGTGAGTAAAAATTTTATCGATAAGCAGGTGGCAAACTGGACAACTGATGATATTATTGCATGGCTAAAAACACTGGGTCTTTCGGAACATTCCCGGAAATTCCAACAGTTTCGAATTAACGGTGCTCATCTGTTGTCTTTTGATCGATCATTGTTAACGCAACTCGGTGTCACACGAATCAGTCATCGACAACTGATTGAACGGTCTCTGAAAAGTTTGATAGAGCAATAATTAGAATGTACCGAATTAACTGTTGAATGTGGTAAATAATCTTTTTGCATTCGCAGCATATTTCTGATTGCGGACCGTTGGAATTTTGATAAAGTTGATAATTACAAATATTTGCTTCAGACGGGAGAACGGTAAGCATGGGAAAGAAAAAGGACAGGGGAATATTTTAAACATTATTTCAAATATGTTTCAGTATAAAATTTCCTTTTTCATTTACAATCAGTTGTATGCAAATTTGTTTAAGTCAGAAGTGGGAAAACTGTAGGTTTTTTTTTTTTTTTTTTTGTGAGATATTTGTTCAATCTATTCGTGTATTTGTGTAATTTCTAAATACCAAATCTATAAACTAATTGTTTTTACTTGTCCCAGTCCCGTTTTCCTTGTAATGTTTTATTCCATTTCTTGTTCGAAATATGGAATGGATGCATATTCAATTTGTTAAGTTAGCAGTTTTTCAAATGAATTACTCGATCGTTTTCCTATTGTATTGCCGTTAAATAACAAAATCGAAATTGAGAATCATAAAAATATTCCTGTTTTGCTGAGCTTTAGGAGGAATTAAATTTGTGATCCATGGGCTTTTACATTCCTGAAACGGACTGCACAACTTCGTCCAGAAGGGCTTAAAGTCTGGAATTCCATAACTGCTTACTTACTCTTAACCTTGGAAGTATATTGAGAAATAGCGTGTAATTGTTCGTCGCTTTTAAATAGGCTTATAATATTCCATTTAATCCCTTTCTGTGACTCCCTTACTTTTAATTATGTTTGTAACTTAATTATTGTAACAGTCCAATACTCAGGCACAGTTATCTTTAAGGAAATTTGTAGCACTGAGTTTTTAAAGTTGTCTAGAGTGGATCTGGACAATATTAAATTCCCGTCTGGTGGTTTTGTAGAAATTTTATCCGTTTTTTCTTTGTCAATTCTGTTAAGATTTTGGAGTTTTGTATTTGAATAACCCTGTTCCTGAGATATCCATAAAGCTCTTTCTTTTTCCGTTTATTATTGCACCGGAAATGCCATTTTTAGCCGTATTTTTGCCTATGCACATTAATATAGAAAATCTTTAGAAGAATTTGCTATTTGACGAATGCTCCAGATAACTCAAAAAGGGAAGTTTCTTGAAAAAGCTTGATTTGTCTCAGTGATTTTCGAAACAACGGGAAGGAGCAGGGAGAAAAGAATGAAATGGACGCGTTTATTTTATCAAACAATTTGCAATTTTCTAGCAAAAATAATTCAACTAGTCGAAATTGAGATAATAAAAATATTGGAATTAAAACAGGTTATTAGATAAACGTAGTACTGGAGTGTTGATCAGTGCAATTTGTTGGTTTTCTTCTAATGCACGGGAAAAATATGCTTGCTAAAGTATTCATGGATATCACAATATGCTCAGCATCCTTCGGTATTGTGCAACATAAGGGAAGAGTTTGTATTGCTAGATTGTAAAAAAACTTTTGTTGTGGAATTTTTGACATGTGCGGTTGACTTCTACCTTATTGCGTCTTTAGTAATATCCGCACTCACTTTATTATTTGTTGAAATGAAATGAATGAGCTGGCACAGATATTGCAGTTGTGTATAATTATCTGCTTAAATCGCTGTACTATATCACTGTCACCAAAAGAAAGCAGGGAGCAGTGTTTAACTGTCATCGGTTAAAGTAGCAACACTGTATCACTATCATCGGTAAAAATCATGGTACTGTATCACTGTCGTCGGTTAAGCCGTGACGGTGTTTAGCTGTCATCGGTAAAAATTGCGATACGATATCTTCGTCTTCACTTTGTTTTGCAATACATTATTTCGCAACAATTGTTATCGACTAAAGTCTTTTTGGTGTTCCCAATATTTGTCTAAAAACTAGTAGTTTTTAAATTTTAATCAAAACATATTGGTTGTAATATGCGGAACTTGTTATTTTGCCAGCTGATAAATCTTGCATTTGTGTTTCAAGTGTATTACATGTCAGTGCATGAAATGATTTGGATTATAATTTGAATTTTCAAAATTTTCTTAGTTCAGTTCGAAATTGTGAAAATGATATTTTAACTTTGTCAGGCTTTTCGTTAACTGTATGCTATTATTAGGTTTATATTTTGTTACGTATTGAATCAAGAAGAGTTGGCGGTCTTCGGCAACAACATGTAATTGGAGTCTTATAAACTATCATTCGCTGACTCAATGATTGAATTTTGATTGTTTATCTTTTTGCTCATATTTTTCCCTTTTCCGCTTTGCTCACCAAACATATTCAATTCACGCATGTTTATTAGTCTCCTGTTGAAGACTCATTTTCGAGTTATGGTAAGACTGTCTAACGCGATAGTTGATAGAGTTAAGATCGTTTTATGATATGTTAGTTTCCATAATCCATGCTGTATTCTGTGATACAATTCAAAATAAAACTTAGATTTCTGACTTCTTTGTGCTAATGGGTTAAATAAATTTTGTGAAGCATTTTGTTTAGTGTTTAGGATGCATCAAAACAACTATATTTCATATAGTTGGAAAGATTTCCGAGTATGGTAATGGTAATATTCATAGTACATTTCTCTGAGTTACATCCCCGAAAGTTACACAAAATAATCCTAATATCGCGGTTGTAATAATAAGCGCTGGATGACATATTTGGAAATGAATAATGGTATGTAGAAGAATGAAGAAATTTCTGTAACAGTTTTGCTGCAGAGAGATTTCAATGCATTTTTCTGATTTGCAAATCTATGTAGACATCTCGGCAAGTTTGTTTGAAGAAAACCTGCTCATTTAAGTTCGGATCTTTAACTATCACTTAATATTTTGTAACCTGAATATAATGGAATGGACCATTTGGTACTATCTTTTACTGTTAATTCAGTACAATCAGTAAGTTGTTTCAACGAAAATTACTTGTGGTTCAGCGAGTTGTTTCCTTTCTATTTCACTTCATTTTTATTTACATGAAACAACTTTTTCTTTGGTATACCAGGAATGAAACGAGGCTGTGAGTGCCTAAAATCAATGATACAGCAAAAAACAACGGCATGCTGGAGTATTGAAGAACGACGGACGTGAACAGTTTTTCTCTTATTCTTATCACAGGTTAGTTTGTCCTTAAGCGTGTAGTATATGTGATTTTTGCATCTATCAGTGAAGCCTTTGGACTACTGTCTTTGTATTACAGTGAGGCTTTAAATGAAACTTTCGGCATAATACCGATCCAGCTTCATTAAGCTAAAACTCAACCAAGCTAAATCTTAGTCACTCCGCACATGTATGCCAACGACAAGTATAACAACGTATAATTAGATAATTTCTCTTAACTTAGAGGGTAAAAATATGGCATTGAAGAAAAAACTATTTGCATATTTCGCCGTGAATTTGTCGCAACTAACCGACGACAATGGAACAAATAGTATTTGAAGAGTATCATAAAATACCATTTATTCCATGTAGCTTCATGAATTGACATTGTGAATTTAACTCAATATGTTAGTTTCTCCTTGAACCTAATTTACCACTTTGTTGTTCTCCCTTGTCATATATGATTGAATTTACTCCCCCATAGAACAATTGTCTTTGTTGGGTTGCATAATGGAAATAAACTAATTTCCCAACCACTTACAGTAGGCTCTCCATGTTCTTCAAAATTTACATTTATTATAAAAAAACTGAAAAATCCGTTCAAAATACTTCGAAACTTATATTATCTCTGGATCTCTCTCTTTGTGTGGTCTTTGCTCGATATTTACAATTGTAGTTCAGGATAAATATTCAAGAAGTGATAAGTGGAAATCTTTGTTTGCTTGTTTAGTCTTCAAATTTTAAATATCTTGCTTCCTCATAAAAGCAAAATGTTTCAACCCTTTCTTCATGTTTTAGCTCTTTTTTCTACTTGGAAAGTTCGCTTTTAAAATTCAAATAATTTCCATGAAAGGGTGGAACTGCAAACCTCTCTATACATAAAATTGGCACTGAACTACATTACTGTCATCAATTAGTCAATTAGTTCATATGTTTCCTGTTTGACATACAAATCAGTTCGTAAATCACTAATCCACCCTTTCGACCGCTTACTTGAAGAGTTTGATCGGTGTGTTCAAATTTGCCATCGATGTTGTCATCGTTAATTCTGCACTTGCATTGGTATGACTCCATCCCTTTGTTCATCTTTCCATGTTCATCTCTTTCCAACCATCTCTACTGTCTGAAGCACCGATGATTTGCCGATCTCTTCCTTCCACCCACCCTCTACTCGCAATCGGAATCGGATCGTATCGCGTTTCTCACACTTTCCTTCCAAGTTTATCACACTCTTTTCACTACTACAGCTCGCCAATCAGCCAACCGACCACCTTCGATCGATTTGTACAATTTTTAAGCAAACGTTTCCCAACTCTGGATCAATTCAAATAACCTCTCCCCTTCCCCCCTCCCTTTCCCCTACCATAAGATTTTGTCGTTACTTGCGCCTCAATCGCTTTCCCTCTGATTTCTGTAAGCGTGAAAATTAAAATTTGCTATTTGACGTCTATGCCTATCTACTTATGATCGGTTTGATATCAGTGAAGATTGCCATATGCGTCAATACAGCACCATCAACTATGCAAAGGCCAAAAGCATTTATGCATTTAGCGATGAATTGTGATTCTGTTTTCAAAACTGATGGCTATTCAGTTTATACCTTTAAATTAGTGGGACATCTGTCAGCAGATATGCTATCATATTTGTCCGCTTGGTCCACTCATCCCAGAGAACTTCGTCTTGAAGAAGCTTAATGTGACTGTTGCAATTCGCACATGTTTCTGAAATAATTTATAACCAACCGAATACATCTTTCAAGTTACATTACGGAGTGAGATAGATTTCCCAAGCATTACTAGTTTTTTTTTTTTGCTTTTTTCTGTCATAGAATATGAAGAAGGATGGGCTTTAACTCAAGTTACTTGAAGTTTCTTTTTTTTCTAAATTCATGTTGTAGAATCCGCAGAAATGCACAAACAATTATGAAGTTGATGAAATTTATGAATTTGAAACTGGACATATAAAAAGGATAAAACTCAATTTCCGAACTTAAGGACGGTATTAACGCTACTAATATCAATTTTTATGGGGTCTTCCTTACCCTATATTTCGAAGTATTCATAAAGCAATTCTTTATTCTTCAAGAATTTTCTAGTTATCGGATCAGTAAGTATATTGGTAAACAAGTAAAGAATAGCTAAGCAATATAATAGCTAAGCATGTAACTTGTTTATATATTATACTTCTGCTTACCTGTAATCATTATCATCACTGAACTGCTTGTTGTATATAATCACTCTCCGAATCCTCTGCTGGATTACCTCGCTGTTTCCAGTGCTTGCTTTGGAAACTTGCAGTGAGCTGAATAGTTAGTTCATCGTAAATTGCGAGTTGGTATCGGCTGTACCACTCCCTTTGTTCTGTTCTCCTTTGCAGATAAGCGGTTCAATTCATTTGTTACTGCGTACATTTCTTTCGGCGTATCATGTTGAAATTTGATGAAAATGGCTGGAGGAAGGACCGGTTTCTGCTCTGGTCGAGGCATCGCTTTTTGTCCATTTACTTCTCATCGTCCATTTACCAAGGAAATCCATCTTTTTTTTCTTCACATGCAATAACTTCTCTGCACTAACAAAGTCGAGTTCAAATACTTACTCAAATTCTCTGAAATGAATTCGAAACTTAAATAATTCGTTATTTCCGAGGAAAGTTTTAGCCAAATCCTTGATTATTTCTTTTGTACATCCCGTCCCAGGTCCATCCTTTTCTGCTTGTAAATATGGAAACAGTTATGGATGTCGTCCTGGTCAAGTCTGAAAACATATCATAGAAGGAATTTTTGCGTAATTATTTCGAATTTCAGTTGTCTTTTTCTTCAGTCTTCGGACATTATTTAACTGGTAGAGAGGAAATTAATTCGAAACTTTGTTATTCGATGTTAGGTTGGTTGTTCATATGCTTAGACATCTCTGTCTATAAAGAAAGGATATATCGTTGCTTTGCGGAACCTGTTTCGAGCTATCAGCTGATGACTTATGGTGCTGTCGCTGTCGTTTAATAGTTTATAAACTACTGAAAAATTACAGACAGGATTTTTGCATGCTGTTGAGTGGTCAAATTCCTTCTGTCATCGTTCTGCTCTTCAGTTATGTAATTTGAATGAAAGTAATTTTTTATGTTGTTTGTAATTGTAGTGGGAATGATTGTAATCCGTCAAGGTAAAACAAAGGTTTAGTTTCGAGTAAAGATGGAAATCTTGAGATTCCATGTAGACCAAATTTATTCAGTTGAAAGATTTCCCACATTCGGCTGCTGAATGAAATGCATTCCGTACTTTTCCGTAAGCGTGAGTTGATGGAATTCATGGGAGAGAGAAGGTTGCAAATGGAGGTGTTATTAGTTACAGCAGAAATAGGAAAGAAGAGAACTTCCTATCTCTTCTCTGCTTTCCTCATATCTTACCTATTTCACATTTCAGGTGCTTCACGTTTGTCTGTTTTTTAAAAGTTGCTTTTCGATACCTTTCCTTTCTCACTATCCCATGGTCTTTATCACTACTATCTTTTCTCTTGTTATACTGTTTCTCTTTCGAGTCTGCAGTTTCACATCTTAACAGTTGATATAAATTTCCCTTCTTTACCTTGATAAAACAATGATGATTGGGCATTGGGAAGACACATATGCGCCTTTTCTTATTCATATTTCTCATCTAACATAATGAGAAACGCTGGAAATGAAATTTGTTAACTTCGTTGACATCAACGGTTCATTTAATCATCATTGGAAACATTCAACAATTTTTGATATTTTACAAATTAAATCCAATTCTACCAGCAAGTCTGACGTAAATGTGACAGTCCCTGTTCCACTTGTCTGTATGCGCCATCCACGTTAAGAGTAGTATTTGTCAAACGATCTGGATACTGTGATGATTTGATTCTAAGCAGGGCCAGAAAATCATGAACAGGACTAACGGTTGTAAAAATTGAAGATTTCCGTTTACGATTTCCGGTTCGTCTGCTGTTCAAATAGTTTGCTTCATATTTCCTAATCGGAACTTGTGAGTGGAAAATCTTTGGGGGAAAAAATAGGTAAATTTTTGAAAATCCACAGGTTCACGTTAGCAAAATTATTTTCCGATAATTTTGGAGCAAATGTTTTGATTCCTGTATATATATATTATGATTCCTATATATTAATTAGTTTAGTTAATTTATGTTCCGAATTTAATTTAATACTTGTGTTGAAGTGAATCTTTTCGATAATTAAAAGTGATGATTCGAACTATATATCTTTCTATATCTTCAAGCAACTTTAGCAGATGTAATAATTAAATATATAACTGAAAACACTGCTCGTATCATCAGGTACTTTTTAACTCGCTTTTGAATGAGTGCAAATTTGCTCTTTTTCTTTTCGCAGTAATTGGCACATTGACCTTTTAGAGTGTTTTCGCGTTTCGGATTCCCATTTCGGCATTATACATATTCTCAATTAAATCCATTTGTGAGTCAGTATTTATTACCATTTCTCATAGATATCTTTTTAACTTTTTTCAATTCCCAATTATCACGAACACTTCCGGAAATTCATTTTTAGTTGGTACTTCACCAATGTACCGGGATTCTTTATTCAGATTCAAATTAGATAATTCGTTATTGATTTCTGGTCCGAATCTCTTTATCGACTTCTTCAAGAGAAATGAATCATGATTCTTCTCTAAAAATTGGATTTGTTTTTGTATTTTAGTCTGTTACCAGAGTTTTCCAGAACAGTATATTTACAGTTTAAGCAAGCCGTATGGCTATTTTTGAAATCAGCTTTAGGCATGTTGTAAGTCATTGCTCCTTAAGTAGTTTTGCTTTTAAGAATATTTTCGAAGTTTATGCTCATTCTTATAGCACTCTTCAAATAGATTAATGAAATAAGCTTACTGACAATTTCTGCATCTCGTATGATACCTCAGTTATTGCGAGCTTTCTGCTTTGCATCGTATGAGCCGGCCGGTAGACATAATTATTATATTGCTAATGGCATAATTATATACCTGCGGAAGAAAATAATCTGAAAAAGTTTTTTTTATTTAATCTGCACTAGCTATGGGAGGAATAGGAAGGAACATCACTTTCCTTTGATATATTGCTGGAACTTTTACAATAGGAAAATTTTGAGCGGCTTTGTCTTTTGCATGCTAACGTTAGCAGCACTTTAGTTTAGATAAATGTTTTTTGGTTTTTGGATTTTTGAGAAATCGTTTTTGGATTTAAATTCTTTTTTCTTCAAATTGTTGGAATGTTCATATATTATCTGCTGAATTTACAAAAATCGCACTGAATTCTTGACTTTGGTGTCGATTACTGGTTCGATCACTAGTAATGATTATTTGGGAAATGAATGTGGATTGCATAGCTGAACAAAGCAATTATTAAAAAGAAAACAAAAAAAATGATGGTAGCGCAAATTTGGATGGGAAAAAGTGTAGTTGACAAAGGAAATCAGTAAAAATTATAATATCGATGGAGTTATTTCGAATGCTACACTTGTCAACTGGAAATAAATGGTTGGAAAAAAATCTCCAACAAAAACTTTTTGAAGTCAATTTTTTTAATTTCAGAAATCCATCCTTTTTTATTTATTGGATTTGTATTGAGGTGTATTATTAAAGGACTCTTCAGCATAGATTAAAATGTGCAATATCCAAAAAGCCACTAATAAGGCCTAATTGTGAAAAAAATGTTCGGACAGAAAGACTGGGACAAAGATGAAATTAAATAATGAAGAGCAAAGACAAAGGAATGATGGATGTCCGTAATTCAGGCAAGATAAGCTTTCAGTGAACAGAAAGGAGGGTTTGTCGTTAAAATACTTTTAGAGTTGAAGAAACGATCAGAAAGTGTTAGATCGGAAACGAATATCCTTCCCTTCAGTCAGGATTTGTTTATTTGTAATGAACGTTTACCATGACAACCTTTCTGTATCAGCATGAATTTGCCTCAATGGTCATCTTAATCAGGGTCGAAACATTTGTAAATTTTTATGGAATATGACCATATGTAGAAGTGATGGGTTAAATTTATTAAATGCAACCACGAAATTCTAGTCAAACATTTCGAGTTCGGTTTCGAGACCGAAAAAAAAAACGTCCAAGGATTTTGTAAAGAAATAAGATTTTGTGAGCCAAAGGGAGCAAAAACTGAAAAACGAATGTTAAGCTAACGACCATTTAGAATATTATGTCTGAATTTCTGCGAAATGTATTTTCCCATTTTTAATTGTGAAATTACTGGCCGTAAACCATAGAATTGCAAAGTGAAAGAACACAGAAATTGAGAGAGGACGCGAGAAGAAAACGACCAAGGAAAGGCGCAATGGTCGGCTTCCAGCAACAACATCATCTTAGGGAGGAGCAACATGGCGTGCAGGAGGGAGCGCAAGATAGCACCATGGCTAACGATTTCGGCATCACTGCAGCTGCAGTTGCGAATGCAGTGGGGCAGCAGCAACATGGGTCGTCGTCGAATGGCAGAGCGAACTCACCGAGGGCAAAACTGGCGATGCTGAAACGGTCATCCACCAAGTGCAAAGGTCTTTCGTTTCTTTTTAAATATTTCATATTTTATTTAATTCTCCTTTCACTATCAATAATTCCATTCTGTCAGTAAATAGCCATATAATGTGGGTTCCATTGCGATCTCACAAACTATCCATCGTAGCACATTCATTAGCGAAAAGTGAAAGATAAGTACCACTGACAGCACAGTTGGTGTTATAGATATATTGAAGGAATTGATTGCGTGCTTGTACTGTTGAGTCGGCACGACATGTTATTTCATGCAATGTGGAAGGTACTAACTATGCCATGACGGCTTACTTATGCCATATCTCGCTTACTTTATTCGTTCTCGCTCAAGCCAAGTTTGATTGTATAGTAGCGTTGGCACTTCCCGGTGATCTGACCATAGTATTCATTCCTTCAGCTAACTGCATTAAGGAAAATGGATGATTACGGCGACCGGTAAACAACAGCTGTCCTGGACAGCACTGCATGACTAAAAGACTACAATTCGTAAGCATATCACAAGCTGCCCTGATAATCTAAAATCTTGGCGGCTTGAACTTACGAATTACCGTATATTTCGTCATATACTCAGTTTTTTTCGTTCTCCTTCCCTAAGCTATGTTAAATGAATTATCAAACACTCTTAAACACTAGCATTATAATAAGCAGACGATTGACATAGTTGTATCCTGACATGGTACTGACATGGAGAGCTCGAGATCTGAGAAAGTTTTAAATAGACTGGAACACTAGATGTTGAACTTTATTAAAGTGAAATTACTGTATAACATAGTTATTTCTCTTCAAGCAGTAATTGCTAAGACTGCATTTTAGGGTGCTTGGAATGTCTTTTTTTTAGATTTTATTAATATAGTTACGAAATAATTCGATTGTAAATGAAGGAAAATGAAATTCTTTCCACCCTTCAACTTACATCAAAATACAACACAGCAACTTTTACTTATTATTCACGACTGCCTCTATTTTTTCAGCCTTATCCAATAATGATCCATTTCGATTCCAAGGTAATGGGGTAGATTTCAAAGGTAAGTTGATAGGCGTTCGAGACGTTGATGAGGCTCGAGGGGACACAATGTGCGCCGAAGCGATGAGACTTGCAAAAGCGGCTGTTAAAAGTGCGGGCCATCATAAACAGCGAATTATTCTCAATATTTCAATCGAAGGCCTCAAAGTTAAGGATGAAAAAACCCAAGTGGGTGATTTTTCAGATCTGTTCACTACGAAACTTTTATTAACCGTTTTTTTAAATGCAGCTTTCTGTCTTTCAAAATATGCTTATCAGAGCACTTTTCAATCAGCAGCATGTAAATGATGGAAATTGTACTGCTGTAGATATTCATTCAGTGGAAGATTGATAGTTAAGTCCTGAACTTGATGTGGTATTTAATTATTGATTTGGCGTTACCTTTTAATCCTTTCCTTTGGAAGAGCGAAATTTTGTTATAAAGGTTCTTTTAAAATCTCAGATTAAAGTAATATTAACAGTCGGTTGTACTTTGACTGCAGTAATTTATGTGGGTGAATCTCAAGGCAGTATTTGGAATGGCATTGAAAGCTCGAGCAGTCTTCGTAATCTTTAGCATGAAAACAACTTCATAATGTGGCATATTTTTGCGGTGTTTTAATCATTTTCTGAAAGGCTGTGAAGCAGCTGTTTCCAGACAATTTTGCACAATTTCCCTGTTTCACGGATCTCGTTCATAGCGCGGGATACAACAGATGCACGTGCATTCGGTTTTATTTATAGTTGTTCGGACAACAAATATAAATTTTATGGTAAGTCTTCTGGCATTATAAATCATATTTTAGTGGATTGAATTCTTACTGGCAAAGCAAACATTGCAAGAAGATTAAAAAGTGGACAGCATTGATCGGAATCTGAAAAAAATTCAAGTAATTATATTTCTGTTTATTCGTGGTATAAGAGAAGTTGCTCTTTCGCTGTAGCATGCTAACATTCAGTTCAGCAAATGAACTGAACTGCTAACACTCAGTTCATTTTGCGACATAAAAATTTAAATTAAGTTCTAAGGATATGAAGTATTGGTAAGTGATTCGAAATATATTTTACATTTGCAGAGACCAGTAAATCTTGCAGGTATTAAAACGACGCAAACGGCTGATCGTGCAGTCTTATCGATTCGTGATATGTTCCAAATAGTTTTTGAAATGAAGAAAGCTCATCTTGCTGAAGTGAAACAAAAGCAGGAAGAACAACAAAAGCGAGTATGTTCAAAGCTTGAGATATTCAATTACACTCTCAAGGATTAATTTGAAACTTGAAGGAAAATGGTTTCTTTAGGGAGATTTTTGTTGAACAGTTTGAGGGTTTGAAATATTTGGTTTATCTGTACCTTTCAATACTTTAGTAGGATTTCAGAAATTGAATTTAATGCAGAAGTGGACCAACTGGATTAAACTACGAAACTCGAATCGTATATAGCATGTAGTGGTGTTGCAAACTCACTAGGCAGTCATGCCTATAGTTAATTATTGCAGGAGTCGGAAATGACAGATGGTGTGAGGATAGATAATGGTGTTGCGGTAGCAGACTTACTTGACTTGGAATCTGAGCTTCATAACATTGAGCAAGGTTATAATCAGTTGCAAAATATCCCGACATTCGCAGAGGATTCCTGGCCTTCCAATGGTGTCTTCACTAACATGCAATCATCAGCACCTTTTCTTCCATCATCAACTGGAACCGTTGCACCGTTAGCACCCCCTCCTGTTTCATCATTTGCCCAGAAAAATCCATCAGATCCTTTTGATGATAGCTTCAATCCCCGGTCTTTTCCGATAGTGCCGCCATCCGGAAATATTCCACTAAATGCTTGTGATGTCCAACAACCATCTTCTCTTTCAACACAGCCACTACCAGCTTTGTGGTCATATCCTGATGCTTTTACAACTTCCACAAACAGTCGTTCCATTGCTTTCTCGGTTTGTTTGTTTTTATATGGCTGTGTTGCTAGAATTACTAGTCGCCATTTTATTCAGAATGTATGATTTCAAGATTTTTACGTGCCACTTAGCTGTTCATATAGAAATTTGGAAGTTGGAAGACAGTGAAGCAACAATTTAATACATCCTGAGAGGGATTGATTGCTAAAGCATTTTACAAAAATTGAATTGTTTTTCTCATACGTTTTATATGCGTCAACCACCATAGGTTTGTTTATTGGCGAAATAATTTCAAACAGTTTTAAGTACTCGTCTAGATCAACGCAACGTGTCGTCGTAAATTGCCGGACCGTTCTGATGATTTTTAGTTTCTTTTTAAATGTTAGGTTATACAAAAACCAGAGGCCATTCTTCTACATATCGATGGAATATATTTTCTTCAGGAAACAAATCCGTTTGCCTCGTCAGTGCAGGGTGCCACTGTGGCAAGGATAGAACTTGATCCGTTTGACACACAACAAGCTCAACAAATTCTGAAAAGTTCTGCATCTTACCACCTTCCTATGACAGTTTCCTGGTCGACAAATGAAAATACGGTACCGCCAACAGGCACCGATCCAAGGTTCTTTTTTGTCTCAGTTCATCTGCTTAGTTTACATTTCCCCGTTTTAGTGATATGCTTCATTTAAATCTCTTTCTTAGAGAGATGTGCAAATCTCGGACTATCTTGCCAAGCCTTGCTGTCTAAGACTTTTGTTCTAACGTTTTTATTATTTTTGGAATAGTTTTCAAAATTCAAGTATGTCTTACTGCAATTGTTAGCTCTTGAATTTCAGAATGCTTTCTCAATGGACAGAAAAGAAGAGGGTATCAACCTTGGAAGAAGCATTCAATAAATTAGTTGATATGGATACACTCGTTTCTAGCCCGGAACTAAAAAATCCATTTACCGAACTGATGATTCCACCGAAAAAAGTATCGATGGATGCGATGAAACCAAATGCGACGGTAACAGCACCAACAGCGATAAGGACGGGTTCGCCACGGGCACCGTGTATACCTTCCCGGATTTCTGCTCCTTTAGTTGTTTCAACTACTTCTTACAATGATCCATTTAATGATGAATTTTTCAATTGATGAAGCCTTTGATGTACGAAAATGAATTATCAAAGCAATTTAGGAAGGTTTTGTTGGATATTCAAATTCGACATTTTGAGTTCGTGGGGGAATTTCGCGAAAGCTTGTATCCGTTATCATCCCATCAATTTTTTAAATTCCGAAGCTTCAAGTTTATTATGTCTCTTTTCTTACATATAATGTTTGCGTGATTCTTATTTTTCTTAGGAAGGAGATTCTTTTTGCTGGATTCTGCATGATGAATTTACAAAAGTTTAAGTTTACACACGAAAGACGCCCTTATTTGATAACTGCAATTTTCGGAGCATTTTCACAGCTGATTTTGGAATTTAAAAGCGCATATTGATGATTTCAAATAAATTTCGATTTTATTCTCGGATGATAGACGTACTTTTTTATCCTGTTTTCTCTCTTTTTTTTTTTCATATTACATCACTTTGACTTTCACAGGAAAATTAAATTGCCTTGGAATTTGTTGTCGAAATTTCTAAATATAAAATTAAAAAATTTCCGACCAACTTTTATGAATTAAATGCCTTAAGGTTTTAAAGAAATTAATATGTAACGTTTATGTAGAAACTTTTAGTATGATCTTAGCAAGCTTATCCGTCACAGTGAATCCAAATGGAATTAAAGTTTTTTTCAGTTCTTTCCCGCGTTTCTCTCATCTCTTGCTTGTTTAGAAATTCAGAGCATTCTTCGCTCAACTTCAAGTACTCTTTGTCACCGTGCTCTGAAGTTTGCTTTTACTACCTTAATAGTGCTAACTATAGTGCTGAAGATATCTGGATTATCTGACAATTTACATGCACATGGATACATTTCACACGTTCTTATTCTGTGCTGACATTCTGTTACATTAAATGATTAACAGTGTGAATTAATGGCTTTTTTTTTTCGAGTACTTGCCGACTGTTTTTTTTTCATCCATCTGAGTGGGCATGTATTAGTTACTTCGAAAATAATTTTTTCAGCTGTAACGGGCGTTCCATATTTAAGCTTCTTGAACTAGGTATCATAATGGACATCAAAACTGTTCTGATTTAGGTGTTTTTCAAGAAGTAAAACGGCATTTTGTTTACTTGCTTCATATGTTTTTCACTTGAAAAAGGGATTTGTATAAATCTGTTAATGTACCATCTGGAATTTTTCTTACTTTTTCATTTTGTTTTTCATCAGATAAAACGTCTATTTTTGTATTCTTCCTAACTTCATTCTACACCCGTGATGTAAAAGTAAAGCCGTTTTTCTTGTTTAAGAAATTTTTATTCTCTGCTTCTTTCATTATCCATATATATTTTCTTTTCCACTTTTTTACACTTTGATATATTTCTATCACGGTAGGATGTGTTTCGCATTTGGAAAAGTAATGTAAACAGGACACCTAGTACTCTCGAGGTATTTCTTGAATTGTAGGCGTTCTGCCCAAACTGCGTGGTTCCATAAAGGTTACTCAAAATCTGAAATGGCCAGGGTGGCGATCGGAAGTACAAAATCTCAAAGGATCCAAAAACCTCAGTTTTAACAGTGTCCAGAGTTTCCATCATTTCGATCAAAAAATGGATTCTTATGCCCCTGCCGTATAGTATCAAAAATAGAGCACTGTTGTGTGGTCCAGACCTTCAAGCTATGAAAGCCAGAAAAGAGACTAAATCGTCCTTTATATGATCATCATTGCGGACAAGGCGTGGCAGTGCTGCGGTAACGTCGCTAAGCCATATTAAATCTTTAAATAGCAGTGACTTCACCGTAATCGAATAAATGAGGTTTCGGTTTTCGAAATTTGCAAATCAACCAAAGTTGGGAAGCAGATAGTGGATGGGTAAGCTTGTTCATCATCAGCAAATGATTCAGATCGGCTGTGATCGCTGTTGCATTAGATATGAAGAGCGATGTTCAAAGTCGCATAGGAAGGAAGGGTAAAAATATCTGAAGTCATCTGCAAATAGTTATCAGCAGAAGATGTGACCAGCTGCACTTCTTTCATCTACCTTTTGCTATGCTTACATGTTATTTATCGTCAAAAACTTTTGGGCAACTTACCATCGCACATGGGTCTGCAAACTTTACCAGCCGACAACAACCAGAGTAAGGATATCAGGAATATTGTAAGGGTATCAAGAATACAACAGTGTTATGATAACACCATCGAAAATACAGCGGTGATGACGACGATTACGACGGGAGTGGGCGATAGCAGTCCAATGACTGGATTTAGCAGCAGCGACAGCAGTTTAATGACTGGATCGATGATCGGTCGTTTCAAAAAGAAAACTCACCACTTACCTGCATAACTCTTCAAATAAACGAGAAAAAGCATCAACTTAATGAATCACACACAATCAATCTCATTTCATTCCTTTGCGATTCCAAAGCGTTTTATCAAGACAACACGCCATACATCACCAATTCATTATCATCATGGCTGCCACTACTATTTCCATCATTAAATGCTGCTCATGTAAAGGGAAGATTGTTTTAGTTAATTTAAACCACAGTTTCAATCCAAATTAGGATTATAGCTATTGCCTAATTTATGAATTCGAATTTTGAAGTACTTTAAACTGCAATTTCAATCAAATCAACATTACTCACTGATTTAACAGCTTCAAATAGAACCAGTTCTCAAAAATCGCTTCTCCATCTTAGTCTCTAGCTGGCAAAAACATGACGTCCCTCAATGAACATAAGTTCGAACTTGAGAGATCTTCACTTATCAATCAATCCCAGCATTTGCATCATCATTAATTGGCCAGTACAGTTTATAGGGATGATTCATTCAAAAAGGTCATTTCATTCAATCCTACTCGCTGTGTAAAAAGCAAGGTCAAAAGACAAACAGGAAGTAGTTCTGATTCGTGTACGCCCTTGAAAGAAAGATGTAACAGAAAAGATGATTCATTGGGAACAAGTTCAGCTTGCTAAGATTTCTTCTTGGTAAGGCCTGAATATTGGATTAAATTATAATTAGACGGCATTAACAAACAAGAAAAAAAAAGAATTAATACATTTCTTTGATCTTTGCTACTTATCGTTAGTTTAACATAAATGAAAAATAAAAGATCCGAAGATGCCGGCATAACCGAAATATTTTTATAATATAGAAATATGTCGAAATGATCAAAATATTTTTGTATCGTAGAAATATCTCGGAATAACTGAAATAAATCCACACATAAAAAATTTCTAGTATAAAGATTATTTTATTTAGAATGTTTTTCAGATAAACGATTCATTACAGAACAAACAAAAATAAGTGTTTCAATGCTTAAAGCATTGAATCATTTATCTAGCTGGCTTTCTTCCGATTTGATATCGAAGCTTACATGCAATATTGGAATGTTGTAAAGATTTTCCAATCTGATAATCAAGCTTATATTCAACAGTTAAAATGCTATAAAATAGTCCCCACTATATAAAGAGTTGGGATCATCTACAAAGGGGATCTCTCATCGATTCACTTAAATTACTCGATTAACAGTGCGCTTCGATTTGATTCAATTCAGTGTTACTACCTATACCCCATCAAATTTCTACTAGAAAAAAAACTACAACCCCAATCATATTCCCATCAAATTTTCCCTATGAGCAACAACAAAGAACAACCTAGTGATCGAATTTACCGTGATATTCTTTGATAATTGTCCTATGACGAACACGAAGAAAAATCCTCCACCAGTCAGCAAAATCTTTATCACAACTATTTGTTTGTGCTAATCTTCAAAAAAATTCCAGTAGAAAAGTTAAACGATGTTAGGAACGAAGTATCTTTCTTTTCAATCATATATATAAAGCCTGAAAAAATTTTTCGATAGAATTAAATATATTTGAATACATTTCAAAACTTCAAAAGAAATTCATGTATGCAAACAGCAGGACCTGAATAGAGAAATGTCTCTCGAGACAGAATATTAGCTGTGTCTAGTATGGATTAGTGTCTTAACGATTTGGAAAATAAAGTTAAAAATGAAAAATGTAACTTTTCGGCATTATCAGATTTGCTAGCTTATAATCATATGAAAAATTTTAGTGAAGCGTAACTATGGTGCAAATAAAACAATTTTAAACATTAATAAAGACGGCTTGTGGGAAAGATACGTTACTGCGTAACATCAGAGGAAGTAGTTCCCTATTTTCGTTGTATTATATCCAAGAGTTATGATAAAATAAATTAGTTACAGACTAGAAGCTAAAAAGCAAAGGAACAAAAGTAACCCACCTCTTTTATAAACTGCGGTAGTATGAAAGCCGAACGATGTATATCAGAATTATAATATTTCAAATCCATCCGTTTAATTTCAGAGTCTGATAATATTTTCCGTGGTATGGTAAGATCCAGATTCTAAAATAATTAAAGTGGCTTCATTTACATGCAATAAATAATTCGTAGGGAACTTTGACAAAACGTTATCTATAAAATTTATCCCCTTTTATTTTGGTAGCCCAAACTAACCTCATCTTTACTGCATAACAAATAACCAATTTGTCCAGAGGGATATGTGGGCACAAACCCAACTGCATAAGCAACACGAGGATATAAAGCCGATGCATGTTTAACCAGATTTCTAATGAACTTGATGTCAAGCCATGGACATTCACCTGGAAAAACAAAGGATGAAAGGAATTTAAAATTCCAAACAAAGCTACGAATTTAATGAGTTTTTATCACGTTACACTGCAGATAATAGGGAGAAACGAAGACTGATCGAGTGAAGGTAGTAATGAAATGTTCCAATTCATCCAAATTCCTACTGGATTAATTTATCAAACTTGTAAGAATAAACAAATAATTGTCTTTTACTCTACATGGATCCTAATACCAACAATGAAAGAAATTATTCTACAATATTTGTGAAGTCTAGATCAACAGAATAAAGAATAACAGACGAACAGCCGTGCACAGAGTAAAAAACAAAAAGTGCTGCCACAGGAACGTAATCAAGAATAACGATACTGACGCAATGCAGAAAATCCTTGAAGCACAAAAAAACTTGGAACGAACGGCCAAAAATTGTTCACAATTCATGCCAATTCGATTAAAACACCAATAAAAGAACCTTGAGAAGAAAGCACTCCTCTTTCTGTCAGCGTTTCTTTGATTAAACCGTAATAAGTTTCACTGAAAAGTTTCGTCGCCGGACCTATTGGGTCAGATGAATCGGTTATGACCACGTCAAATTCTTCTTTGTGTTCCTAAGTATTTTAAATAGAACAGTAAAAAAAAACAGCGAAGTACGCAACGCAGAATATAGAACCATTTCATGAGTGAGTCATAAAGAAATTCTTTGCTAATGCCCAAAAATTTTTAAGAACTTATAAAAGCTCAAAAAAATGAAGAAAGAGATTGCTCGACATTTTTTTTTTATTGCATAAATGATAATCTCACCTTCACGAAATCAAATCCGTCCTGAATAGCAAGTTTCAATTTCGGACTACTAAATACGAAAGACATTTGCGGGAGAAATTTCTTTGAAAGATTGATTACTGTTTCATCAATTTCACACATCGTTACTGACTCTACACAATCATGCTTCAGCACTTCTCTCAAAACAGCACCGTCGCCACCACCAATAACTAGTACCTAAAAAATTCAAGCAAATGACAGTATATATATATAGCAAAAGTAAGGTAGAACAAAGTACAATAGAAAATAACTCTGCAAAAATCAACCATTTGATTTTCCAGATTCTTCGGGAAATGAACTTGCATTGATTAAGGTATAGCAGTAGTGATGAGAACTTTTAACAAAAATAGTATGAGTTATAGAGAGAGCTATTCGATGTTAAAATGAAGCAATGGGTGATAACAAACGACCAGACATCTAATACCGAATTTATCTAAAAATTAAGAGAAAGGTCGACCAAACAATATACCTCACGTAAGACGTCTTATTTGCAGAGAAAAAAATAATGCATACCTGAATTTAGAAAAAGTTAACTGAATTCAAGCAAGAAATACATACTTTCCGAGGTAGCGGATGAGAAAACATCGCTAAATGAGTAATCATTTCTTGATAAGCAAATTCGTCATGCTCCGTATACTGAATCACGCCATCAAGAACTAGCACGTTTCCATGTGTGCTGCTGCAAGTATAAAATATCAAATTTTAATTAATGTGATGAAAGTCTTAGTGAATAAATCAGGCTGCTCTGAGAACAATGTAATGGAGCTGAAACTGAGAGAAAAAGTTAACCTCTTGAAAATTAAAATATCCTGATATTTGCTCCTTTCGTGAGCGAGTACTTCATCAACTTTCAGTGAGAATGCTTGCCCTGACCAAATATGGTTATGAAAACTATCCAAATCATCAAGTTTGTTTGTCGCTAATTTTGCTTCAAAAACACAAAACATTAGGACAGTGTGTAAAATTAAATAACTAAACAAAGAGAAAAAACGTTGCATAATACCAAAATAATTTGAACTAACACCTGAATGATAAAGCTACAAATAAAAATGAACTAAAACAGAACAACTCATACAATTATACTGTATAACTGTATGACGAAAAGCAACTCTGAACAAAATACTGATTTAGTATATTTAGTCCTAAATATCAGATGTATTACCCAACACAAATCCTAAAAGATACTTCCTGAATTGTCATTTTTTACTGATTCGGGCGATATTTCCGTAAACCAGCCATCTCGGAAGGCATTCATCCTGTACTTTTAGCTTTCCAAGCAAATAAAAATTGTACAAACTTGCAATGGGGTATCTGAACTGATTCACTTTTTATTCCTAAATATCATGCGATATATAGCGTTACATCAGACAAGAAGCCGAGATTTGCACCAGATGTTCGCACTTCTCTTACAGCAAGCTTTACACGTGACAACGGCATTTTCTTTATTCGCACGAAATGATTTCAAGACTTTAAATGAAACGAATAATAGTATGTGAATCAATCATTATATGGCGGGTGACAAACGGATAAGATTTGTCGAATCAAGGATAACGAAAGCAGATAATAATAAAGAGGCACGTAAAGGACAGATAATGTCTCGGAGGGTTTTTTTACACCATTGACTGTGTGTACGAACTACCGTTAACCGGACAACTGCTTGTTCCCTTAAGCCTTACCAATAAGTTATATCCAGCATTTCCTGTAATCCACGAATGCAACGTCGCAGAGCAGCATGTTATGCAACAAGTTAATCCCGCGTATTGAATAACTTCAGCTGCTTGTCCATTTGGTTACTTCACAAAGTTCTTTTGTACTGGATTAGAGGAAGTAGTGGTGAAATGTAAATGGCCTGGTAATAGCAAAGCGGTGGAAATATCGATACCAATGAGACAAAGACGATGCGGTATTTGACCAACAGAAGGATCAGTTAAGTGAAGAGAAAATCAAAACTTCAAAAGAGTATAATTTTTTACAGAAAAATCAAATGATGAAAGATGAGATGGCTAAACTAATAATGAATGACAAATAGTATCACTTCCTCGATGGCATATATTTTTGTCACTCGCTTAGCGGCACATAAAAGAAATAAACATTTTCATGTCTAACAATCACCGCTTCCGTGTCCACTCTACTTCTTTTTGCATCGTTAGTGATAAAGATTGTCTCATAAATGCTGACATTTTTACTACTATTCGTCGTGAAGTTATTAAGTCCAAACTGTTAAAGTTCTAAAATTTCCCCTTTTTTCTACCAAACAAAAATGCTGCAAATTGCACGAAACAGAAAAAACTTGTTGCGTTGAACCTTTGGGAATGTTACATGGATTTAAAAAGAAATTTGAAAACGTTGGGAAAGGTGACTTTGAATTCCTTTACAATTTTAGTTTACTGTCAAAACCTCGCAATTTATCTTTTAACTTTAAATACCTATGGTCTAATGTCTTGTGGTACATTGCTGCCTTTGAAATCATTTGGAAAGAGGACTTCAACTTTTCTTCCTTGATTTGGTTGATATGTATCGCGAAGCTCATTCAAAATCTAAAGAGCATTCGTTGTTAACTAATATGCATTACAGTGAAGTCGTAATCTTAGTTGTATTTCAGGTCAGTAAAAACTAATACTTTATTTGGATTCGTACCTATTATCCATTCTGAGTAATTGTGAAACTGAACTGACTCTAAAATCTAAGTGGCTCCAAATTCAAAAGTTTTCAATAAAAACTGTAAATCGATATCTAGAACAACTCAAAGCTTTTTTGATCAGGAACTAATACCTATTCGAGAAAGATGTACTAGCAACAGAAAACAGACCATGTATCAGATACAGGATGTTCCAAAACCACATTTATACTAGTTAGAATTTTTATGCAAGATGTTTTCACCTGGCTGAATAATTTCTGTTCACTTTCATTTCCTGTCCTTACAGCTTGCAGTCTGTGTATTTGTTGTATATTTTCAGTAATTGTCTATAAAAGTAATTAAAGTTTCAAATTAACCTCAAGCCTTAAAATGATTTCGCAATCAAAAACATATTACATGAAACTTTGCTTTAGTCATCGCTCTCTCCTGCGCTATTCTCAGCAAGTTGCGCCAGAAACGCCAAACCTTTTCACATATGACCATTACCATCAGAATAGCATATAAAGCCAAATATAAAATGATGAAAAGTGTCAATAACTTAACAGCTGAATGAAACTGAAATGATTCAGTTTAATGATGGGAAAAAAATGTGGTGTATGTTATCGTAGAAGTGTTGAAAGTTGTGATTAATGTAAGCTAGCTAAACAGGCGCAAAAGGTTTTATTTATATCACTACAAAAATAAGAAATTTATGTAAAACACCTGAAACCACACTGGTGCGGAAGTCTCAAAAAATTGATTGAAATGTATTATCTCCGGTTTTGTTTTGTTCAAAGTCTGTAATTTTATTCATATGCCAAGAATTCAAATTGCGTAGGCTGATGTAAAAAAAATGAACACTCGTTATTAGATATTTCGAAAAATGGCTGAAACAATACGTGATCCATCTTCAGTCTTTGTTTGTTACACTTTTCTTCTTTATAACTCTAATCATTTAATCTGTTCGTAAATAATTACCAAAAGTAAATTGATGGGATTAACAGAGCTGAAATTTACATCCATTGAATCCAATTTCCCAATCAGTTTCAGAATGTATGCATTTAATGGTATGATCATCTAAAATGAAATTTTTTTGATCCTTATTAGAAATTACTCCAAGTGTGATTTGGAACTGAAAACGGTAAGGAAGCCATAGAATCAGTGACATTCTGCGTTATTGGTAAAACTGTCATTTTTAGGACAGTTGAGGACCGCTTCTATCAGAACCAGAAAGTATACTAGTTGAAACTGATCGAAGAAAAAAGAATTACCGTCGTATTCAAGCGAAACAAATCATCTTTCATTACATGTCTGATTCGCTGAAATGAGAAAACATGTCGTACCCAATTTAAATTTTTCGTATGCACACCGTCTCTTATACGTGTCTTATCTTACACGTGCCCTATGGCGTAGCCCATATTAGGTATGTTTTTGAAATGCGGCCGATGTCAAAAATACCTCAGTAACATTTTCTCTCTCATCCATTATGGAAGCAACCATTTCATAGATGAGATCAATCACATAATAAATAACATTTAGGATTTATGTATTTTTAAAACTAATGCAATTTATATTCGTCAGATTTTGGTAGGAGATTTTGGCAGATATTTTCCAGGTGTTTAATTATTGCCATCCTCAGTCATCTTTAATTCATTTTCATGCTTTGTCACATGCTTTGTGAGTACCACTTTGTAGAATCGTATGACATCGTTTATTTCATCCATTCTTAGTTGTTAGATTGTCATCAGGACAATCAAATGTGTCGACAATCAAATGGAATCAAATGTGTCGACTTTTGTAACGTTGCAAGAACCCAAGGACTATTGCATATTTTCGTCCTTTTACAATATTCCTGAGAACTCTCGAGTGATATTTGATTAACAAATAAGAAATGTTATTCTCAATCACTACTTAGACAGTATTTTACATATATTGCTGTAATACTTATAATATTACGATATTGAATCTCTGATACTGAGTAATACTGGTTAATAGCTCCGATACAAAACATTAATTTCCCTGGTTCGCGAAAAGTTCTACTTATTGCCCTTCTGGAGGCTTTCTCACAACTATTAAAATACTCAGCAATCGTTTACAGTCTAAATTTACATTACTTATTATAATATTCTATGACTCAGAAAATTGATTTAATAACTTTCATTTAAACAATTAAATTTCATGAAAGCGAATCAATAAAAAAGTAAAAATTCAATTCCACAAGTGAAAAAATATTAACGTATACTGTAGCAGCTTGGTAAAGTAATATTTTTAGCACGTAAAAATAAATAATTTACATCTTCCTTTGTCTTTGTTTCTCCATTTGTCTCATCCAACAATCAACTTACGAAATTATTAATTAATTAAAATCTGTGCTTAGGATGTGTCAGTTAGTGCTTCCAATGCTGAAACAATTTAGACATTTTACTGTAAAACAACTGGGTCCTTAAGCGCAAAACAGCATTCAAAGATTAATTCGTAATCACAATCGATACAAGAATTGATTGTGATCACCAATCGAAGTATTTAGATATAAATTTAAGACAAATTTAAATTTGTGTCAAATTCGGTGAAAGTTTTCCTGACAAAAGTTCGTATCGGATTTTCCTTTCCGGCTGAAACATGAAGTGGTAACTGTTTACAATTTCCACCCATTTCTTTGTTTTGGCTTTACTGATTCGAAATTTTTAACAGAATTTTCAAGCTAAGAAAACCGCAGTTTTTTCGGCAAATCAAAATTTATGATCAGTGGTAGTGAACTAAGAAAATGAACCTGAATACACAAGAAATGTCAAAAAACACGTAAAGGTATCACAGGAATTCGTGTAAAAAGAATATTCAAATAATAGAGATATTACGATGAAATGGGAATTATCAATTTCAAATTCCTGTTTTGTCCAACTACCGACTTCACCGATCAATTTCGGAAGGTACAAATGAGAAATTTCTGTCTTGCAACCACTTTGTTATCAATTATTCGATTCCAATTATCGGTGATGACAATGTAAACTGATATAAAGCAATACGAAATTTGATTACATCTTAATAATGATCATTTCAAAAATTCGAGATGGTAAAGCACCATTTATTAAGACTCGAAAAATAACCACCTGTTGTGAAAGTTTGATTATCTGAGTTGAATAGTTTCAGCAACAATATATTTGATATTTATTTGTGTAGCGGAGTAACCAAAGAACTTCTTTATTGACAGGATAATATGCAAATCTCTTTAAACAATAATATCGAACAAGCCAATAGACTTTAAATTTGGTAATAATTGGACAGTTGGATTAAGAGCAGAGATGCCAGGAATATTTCTTGTTAATGTACGTTGATGTAGTCGTCC